TTAAAACACCATCGGCAACTACTGGAAGAAAATTATTAAATAAAGTAGCTAGTAAAACTGAATGTCAACCAAAACGAGCTAAACCACGTGCTCCACCTGTATTACATTCATCACCACCACATCCAACTGTTGCATTACCTGTACATCCACCTGCACGTACAGATGATCAAGCTCTAGACTTTTCACTTTTACATACAATGAAAAATATTCATGGCCAAATAAAAGTATAGTAGATGAATATAAAATATTAATTTATATATTGATCTTTTCTTTTCTTCTTAGGTGATGACATCAACACCTAATTCATCATTTGATATTGTAGAAAATCGAACTGGTAAAACAGCTCATAATGTCATTGGTAAACGTAAATCAAAACGAACACCTGTTCCATTAATAGTAATATTATTATTTTGATTTCTATTAAGTAAATATTCATATTTATTTATTTAGATGGTTCAACGAGCAACTGAAGAAATAACATTGCATTTGTGACATAATGTAGTATCTCATGTAAATTTGTCTTTATTTTACTTGATCTGTTTGTGTGTATTTATTCGAAATTATGTTAGATATATTATTTTATCTATCTCTAAAACAAACATTACTTTAATAAAATAATCAAGTTCCATATAAATAATTTCAATTCACTTATGTAATAATAGCAAGTTCATGATTCACACTTTAATCTCATATGGATTACGCGACACAGTTGTTTCATGGCAATATGTCAGATTGCAAAATTGTTGTGACATTAAATATTTAAGAAATAAAAAGAAAACATTCATTGATACTTTAAGTCTAAAAGATGCATACAGTGAGCGCCGTAGAAAGCCTAGTCTTTTTTGTTTTTACACATAAACGAATAATAAGGCTATTCTAAAAATTTTCTCGTATATCTAGTGTTGTAGAGCTTTTTTCACTGATCATTTTAGTAAAAAGTAGCGAAAAAAATTTAGCACATTTTTATATATAGTATTCATTATTTTCAATAAATTTAATCATAAAATGACATATGAAATACTCGAAAACTAGCGCATTTTAAAGAGCATCATTTGCTCTTTCGAATGGTATAGTTGGAATTTAAAAATAAATCAAAATTGTATTAACTAATTGCTAATTAGTGTTAATCATTAATTACTAAAAATGTGTGCTAAATTTTATTCGCTACTTTTTTACTACATTGTTTAGTATTTTGGCTATAATATTATCATTACTCAATCAAAATCAAAAAGTCTTTTTACTAAAATGATCAGTGAAAAAAGTTCTACAAAACTAGATATACGAGAAAATTTTTCGAATATCCTTATTATTTGTTTATGTGTAAAAACAAAAAAGACTAGGCTTTTTACGGCCCTCACT